CACAGAAGAGACACAGGTGCAGGACACTGGGGTATGCAACCTAGTGAAGGGGCACCCAGGATACAATGCCTGTGTTGTGGGAAACAACATGTAAAGAGTAATAAATAAATAAATAAACCTAGCATTTGTGGACAGCAGTGGTACAGTGGGGGGGACGGGACTGGGGAAGGACTTGGTCCCGGGTGCAATTTTTTTAGGGGGTGTCACCAGGTGCCTTCACAACAAGCTCCTTCATCGGAGTCTGGCTCTGGCACATGAAGGAGCTGTGTCTGGGCTGTGGCGCTCATGCCTGGCTGCAGCTCTGTTCCTTGGTCAGGTCTGACCCGTAGGTGGAGAGCAAGAGAGAGGCAATGCCACTGCCCACCCTCCTCAGCTGAGGTGCGCTTTGTGCCCAGCCATGGCAGCTCCACCCCCAGGTCGAGTCTGTCCCAGGGGCAGAGAGAGGACAGTGGGTGGTAACACTGCTGCCCACACTTCTGGCTGTGGGGCTTGCACCTGGCCACAGCTATGCTCCCGGGTCAAGTTTGACCCGGGGGCGGAGAGCAGGAGGAGAGTTGCTGGCAGCTTCTCTACCCCTCTCCTCACCTGGACTGTCCTGCATGGAGGGCGGCCTCTGTATCCTGTCCTCCTCAAGTGGCGTAGGCATATGCTGGGCCACTGGTGCAAAGCACATTGCAAGCCAAACCATTTTCAAAGCCTGTGCAGGAGGGTGAAGAAACCTCCGAAACAGTGAAAACAGTGCAGGAAGACAGTGATGAGTCTGAACGCTGTCAGGATATCCTAAGATTGACTTTGGGATCAGCATATCCAGATGTTTACATCGTGGGAAATACTGGGAGAGGGGACTAATACCTACCGTACTACACTTTTCTTATATGCTGTTGAACAAAAAAATGGTTTGCTCTCTGCTGGATTGTGAAGCAAGCTGCAATGCGCTGCCAATGACAATGGTTAATGAAAAGACAGACATTGAACCATGTCACCAGAGTATCCTAAAATCTGTGGGCAAGTGCAGAGTTAAGATTTGCAGCAATAAGTTTTATTGCTTAGAATTTGTTATTGTGAATGGAGAGACCATTGATGGGGAGCAAAGCAGTGCAAGCCATGCAACTCATTCAGGTACAACATCAGAACAGAGTATATGTGCTACGGACCAGTGAAGAGAGCCAACCAGCTGCCTGGACAATGGTGAATATATTGCAGATGTTTGGTGGTGTTTTTCAGGGAGCGGGACATCTAGCAGGGAAGTTGAATGCGGATCCACTGAGAACTCCCCAAAGAAGGGTACCAATAGCACTGGCAGAACTGCGGAAGCAGGAACTGGCCCGCCTACAAGCTAAAGGCATGGTTGCCGCAGTAAATTATAGTACAGCATGGCTCAGCAGTCTAATTATTTTCTGCAAACCCTCAGGAAGGCTGCATAATTGTATTGATCCTAAACCTTTGAACAGAGCACTAAAATACAGCCATTACTCACTAGCATCCATTGATGATGTAGGAAGTGACCTACCCCGAGCCAAGGTTTCCTCTGTGTTTGAAGTAAAATAATGGATTCTGGCATACAGAACTCAGCTCAGAGTCAAGCTGTCTTGCCTCTTTTGCAACTCCTTTTGGCAGGTATATTTGGCTGTGGATGCTGTGGGCCCTGCCTGTGAAGTATTTCAGTATCGACTGAATCAAAAAGTAGAGAATGTTCCAGGCCTCAAAATCATTGCTTATGACATACTAATTGTGGGAGGACATGATACTGGAAAGGAAACAGCAATAGATTGTGACAAAAAAATTAGCCTGTTTTTGGAGAGGTGCAGAGAAAGAAATACAAAACCCAAATAAAGTCAGGTTACAACTAAAGGAAGTGACATACATTGGCCACCTGTTGACAGCAGAGGGTCCGAAAGTGGACCCAGTAAAAGTAAGAGCAATCCAGCTGTTACCAAGACTTAAGGATGCAAAGATTTTTGGGAATGGCAAACTACCTGGCTAGCAGATTAGTGTGAACCACTCTGATAGCTAACACACAAAGAGGTAGAATGGGAATGGTCAGAAAGTCATTTGAGAAGATAAAGGACGCCATAGCCAGGAGTCCTGTATGAAGGTATTACAATCCAGGGGAGCAGTTAGGGTTACACAATGTGATGCATCTGAGACAGGGCCAAGAGCTGTGCTGCTACAGAAACAGCAGCCAGTTGCATTTGCCAGTAGAGCACTATCAGAAACTGAAAGAGGATATGCACAGATTGGGGGGAAAAAAAGAACTGTTGGCTGTAGTGTTTGGCATGAAATGCTTCCATCAGCTTACATTTGGCCAGAGAGTACATGCACAATTGGACCATAAGCCACTGGAAACCATCATGCAAGGGCCATTGTTGAGTGTCCCAAACAGGCTTCATCACATGTTGTGAACCACCCTGAGATCTATGGATGAAGGGTGGAATAGAAAGATTATCTCATCATGGTAAACTACTGCTACAACAACTTGGGGGGGGGGAGATCCACTGCCAGATATTATATTTGAGACAATTATAAAGAAACTAAAGTGCCATTTTGCCCACTATGGAGTAGCAGATATTATATGCTCTGACAACAGACCACAGTTTCAGAACATTCCAAAAGCAGTGGGAATTTGATCATCAGACATCCCCAGAGCAATAGAACAGCTCAATCAGCTGTCAGAATGGCTCAGAGAATTTTGATCAAAGCCAAAAAAGCAAGGATTGGTGCATATCTAGATATCCTGGACCACCAAAACACATCTTCATAAGGTTTGGATGGGAGTCCAGCACAGGGAATGATGGCTTGAAGGACAAATGCCTTGTTACCAATGGGTGTGGTTTACTACAGCCAGAGAGCTTCAACAGATGAGCTGAGCTGATTGCAGAACAGAAATTAAGAGAGGCATACTACTGTGACAAGTTAACGAAAGACCTACTCAAACTACATGTGAGCGAGCAAATTTGGATACAGCCAGTGGAGTGACACAATAAGGAGTGGAAGAAAACTGAGGTCCAAAGTCAACTGGACACACACTTGTTTGAGATGGTAACTCAAGAGGACCAAGTTTTGAGAAGGAATCAAAGGCAATTGCGGCGCAGCAACCAACCTGTACACTCAGACTAGCAGGACAGACAGAAGAGAGGCGACTTCAGGAGCCAAAAGATGCCAGTACAGTTGTTGGCCCACTGCCTGTAGAGAATATCCACCTCCTCTTGCACAAGTAAATGAGAGACAACCCAGCTCACATTCATTTCAACCCTACTTGGATACCACATTTTTTGGTTACCACCTAGAAAAGAATTATAACTCCTGAAGCAAAACAGATAACTCCATTGCCTAAAAGACTATGTCCAAATTCAAGGGGGCATATGGGCTTTTGAAACTATATAGTTAACTGTAATAATTGTTCACTTAAAGTTATGAAAGGAAAGATGTATCAGTTATACGTGGAAGTAAGTAAGAGGGAGAGGAAAGCAGTCGGGGAGAGAAACTTAGTGACACAGAGGGAAGGTGCAGGTAAAAGGAACAGCTGCCCAGAAGTGACTCAGGAGAAAAAGGACAGAGAGAAATCAGGAGGGTCAGAGCAGTGGCGTAGCGTGGGTTGTCAGCACCCGGGGCAAGGCAAGTAATTTGCGCCCCCTAACCTGTGGATTTTAGCACTCGAGTCTCTTCCGCCCCCCCCCAGATGTTGCGCCCGGTGCGGCCGGCCCCCCCTGCACCCCCCACGCTACGCCACTGGGTCAGAGAGAGTTAGGGTTTATCCACAACTATGTTTTGCTCTGCTCTTTCCAGGCACAGGTCTATGCTTAAAGCTCCATGTCCAAGCGTTGTTGTTGTTTTCTAGCCCAGAACTTTCCCCGCAGAAACCATTTTTAAATGGACATTATTATTATTATGGACGGAACAACTAATGAAGCAACTTGAATAGGAATGAAGTCAGGCCCTGTGACCAACATATACACTCCATCTCTGTACTAAAGTACCTTCCAGCCAATTGACTTTGAAGCTTCCTGAGCCATTTTAAGTTTCTTATCCATTCTGAGCTGCAAAGTGTGTTAGCACCAAGTCCAGAGCTAGCAATCCAGTGCAGTGGGTAGGCAGGTCCATGCATCCTTTATCTCCAGCAGAGCCACAACAGCGGCAGATAGAAAGGAGGAAACAAGGAGGGGGGGAGGAAAACAAAACAATAGAAAATAAAAGATAAATAGAGGGGTGCCTAGCAGCTCTCTCTTCTGGACATCTCTTTTTATCTCCACACCATGGATGTTCCTCTTAGCAAAGCAGTCTGCTTATCGACGGGTACCAAGGTCACTCACTTCAGCAGAAAGTCAATTTGACCCACAAGCAGGTTTTTGTTTTTTTGTGTGTGTTTCTCAGAGCTTGCTCAGAGTCTGAACGTTACACTGCTGCCATCTGTTTTAGTCCATCATGGTTGCTCTGGGACTTGCAGAATCCAGTGATTCCTTGGGCTTGGCAGAGCCAGATTAACAAACCCCACAGAATGCAGAGGGACTTACTTCTTTGCACAGAATTACACTGTCGTTTCAATTGTAGTTCTTTCTTCTTCTTTTTTTACTAAAGCAGACCCTGTCAAAGAGGCCAGCTTGACAGCTACCTATCCTGAACGTCATAACAGGCTAGTGAAAGAATGTGACAGTTGTTCCAGACGACTGGCTTATTCACACGCAAAACTGGTTGTTACCCCACACTTCCTAGTGCAATTGTCCCGTCACTTTCCTAACTACAAAAAGTCTGATAAGTGTCAGAAAACTGCACTGGAAAGTGCTAGATCACAGCCACTAGCTGGCAATGTTGTGTCACCTCTGTGCTGCAAACCTATCAGCAGGAATGCTCACCGACTTGACTGTCACCCTCCACCTCCACTGAAAAGCATGACCTTTGTACCTTCTCTGTTAATGAGCTTGTGTTCCTTCCCAGCTGAAAGGTCATTCTCTTTTATATTCCTCCAGACTAAGGTGTGTGCCTGACAGTTTACCCAGTGCAGCATGAACCTAGGAATCCCTTCAGAGAGACAGCAACAACAGAGACGGAAATTGAGAGATGAGCCCTTGGAGAAGGATGACAACAGCAGAATAAATATGACCTCAAAGCAAAGGCTGATTCAGCTCACTTATCTGATTACAGTTGTGGACCTGGCCTGCATGTTCATGCAGTTTGGCATTGTTCCAGTGAGTATATGGAGTATAGATTTTTACTAGCTCCACCCATTACTTTCTTTTCTAAAGGAAAAATGCTCTAGCAACTTCCTGATCTAACACCAGCTCCCTGATGCAGTATAAGCAAGTGTAAGTGAACGTGATTAAAATCCCCACATCTGTGTGTGTGTTTGTCTCTCAGCCTAGCCTACCTCACAAGGTTGTTGTGAAGGTGAAAGGGATTGGGGAGAGAACCATGTGCACCACCTTAAACACACTGGAGAAAAGGCAGGACATACATATATCAAATGCTTAACTTCAGAATCTACCATAGAAGAGGATTTGTGCAGGAAGAGTGTTTAGTTTGATGATGGTTCCTTGATCTACTGTCAGTTGATCTACTGTCATAAACTTTGCATTCCAAGGCGTGAGAGGCATATTCTAAAATACTTTAGAGTAGACCTGTCGAAATCAATGTACTTACTTAATTTATTTCAGCAGATTTATTCTTTAGTGTAGCTTAATTGGATAGCACTCATCTATTTATTTTTAATGTTGCCTGAGTGGTGCAACTTCCACACTGTGTTATATAACCAGCAGTACCCTCTAAACGTGTGTGAGAATGCTAAGTAGCTAATGGGAACTGGTGATCAAGTAAAGCACTCATGCTTTTCACTAATTACTTGTAATGAACACCTAAGCTAAGCCTTTAACAGATTCTGCTTGTGGTATCTGCATATCATACAGCCTTGGTCTTCTACTGGATCAGGAGCCAATCTAAATGAAGTTGCACCAGAAGTACCACCAGAGAAGAGAAAGGAGGCCATCTATAGTATAGGCATACATTCATTGCGGGTCATGTATTGGTGCAGGCAGGTTGTGATTAAAACTGCCCCCCCAAAAGAGTCTTACAAATACTGCTCCCAGGTGTCCTGTACTGTTTTAGTGCTCTTTGGAGGACAAACTCGTAGGACAACATAATTGCTTGACTCAGCAAAGCTGATGTGAGACTGAAGACATGATGTGGTTCTGTGCCACAGGGGGCAATTCTGTTAGGTGACAGCATGTTTTGAACCAGTGAAGGAGGCCAAAGGAGGTCCTCTGCTTTGGGGCTTAAGAGGACATTATTTTGGCTTGAAGGGTGACCTTACAAGTCCTGCTCATGCGAATTTAAGAGATTGCACCATGGCCTCACCAACATTTTATGATTTAGTATTAGTTTCCATGTCATTCAGAAATACAGTATAACATACACCTTTCTCTTTGATTTCACCCCCTTTCAGTATCTGGCAACCAGCCTGGGTATGGATGCTGTTGAATTTGGCTACTTGCAAACAGTCTTTGGTGTTCTTCAGCTTCTGGGAGGTCCCATTTTTGGGAGGTAAATATAACAACCATTCTTGGGAACCCTGTGGAATGTCAGAATTGTTTGGAGTTAATAACACCATTTTATTTTTAGCTCAGGGAAATAATTTAAATAGCCATCTGGATTTCCCATACTGGCAGCAGGGGAATGAAAGGCTCTTTTACTACTGTATTGTATACTAACCAACTCTATATCCCCCCCCTTTTTTTAATGTTCTGATTGCCGCTGGATATTAGCCAATGCAGGAACTGTTAATAAGCTGTATGCACACAAGTAGCTGTTAATGATAGAAAAGGGAGGGAGGAAGCTGCACAACAAGGCCAGCATTCATTTCCATTTCTTTTGTATTTTTAATTGGATGTTGAATGTGGGTAGGTAAGAAGTCATAGATTTGAATGCTGACACGATGATTGCAAACCTTGTCTTTCAAAATACATCAATCCGTGGACAAGGATGATATCTGTGATGTCGGATTAACAGGATTCTCATTTGGAGGCTGGATAGCTCAGCTGGTTAGAGTGTGGTGCTGATAACACCAAGGTTGCAGGTTCGATCTCTGTATGGGGCAGCTGCATATTCCTTCATTGCGGGGGGGGGGGGGGCTGGATGCCTATGGAACTGATAGCTTACCTTGAGTGGATGCTAACTGGCAGAGCTTTTCCTGGGAAGTGAGCAATAAGGGTGACCTCCCCAGTGCCTTGGTGGTCCCTTGTGCTGGCCCCAGTGGCCCCAGCCAGCAGCCCCACTTCCTGGCTGGACCTGCTGACTTCTGCCTATCGAAAGAGGCTCCACTAGCAGTGCTGCCACTAAAGCATCAGCAAAAGGGGGAAATGGAACCTGGGTTGGGGAGAGGTTTCTCCTGCCTCTACAGCAGAACATCTCCCCCCCCCCCAAGGAAACCAGGAGGGAGGAGGAGGGGGCACTGCTGCCACCATTGCCATGAAGAGGAGGCAAGGCAGCAGATGTGGGAGGGAGGGAGAGTTGAAGGCACTGGAGGATCCACACAGTGTGATTTGGCCCAGCCCCACCCAGGCACTCCTCATCAGCCCTGTTGAACAGCCAACCTTCCCTAGGATCTGTGTTTATCTTAAAAGGCTGGAATAACTTCTACAGTTTAGTGGAGTTTTGCTTTTATTGCTGCACACCCTGTTCTGTTTCTGAAGATGCTGCATCTCTTTCTGTGCCAGGTTTGCTGACCAGTTTGGAGCCAAGACTGCCTTGGCCATCTCATACGTGGCTGGATCTCTGTTCTTCTTGCTCCTGTCTGTATCCACCAGTGTCCCTCTGCTCTTTCTGTCCAGGGTCCCCTCCGTCTTCATGCATGGACTACCAGGTGATGTTATTAGATGATGCAAACGTTAGCATGGGTCAACTCAAGGGCTTTGGCTCCCAGAGTCAAACTAAGAAACTGCTGCTCGTGCACATGTGGACGATGTGGGTTAAGGTCCTGTCGATACTGGGAGCAATCTGGAGTTGATCTCCCAAGGCAGGGGATGAGAGGAAGTTTTTCGCCTCTCGGGCAGGTTGGCATACATCTGTGGTAAGAAGCCATTTTACGAAATGGCCACGGACCAATCTTCTTGCAGCACCTCCCTCATGAACTAAAGCACCCACATTCATAAAACTTGTCAAGCTATAGATTTGGGGGTGTAACGAATCCATGGTTCATCATGATATTCACCCAAGAACTCTGCCCCTGAAATGCTCAGTATCATATTTTTAAAAGGAAGAGCAAAGACTTTAGATGGTACACGATTAACCTGAGTTTCCCCTCCATTTTTTAAACAGGTGCTCAAATGGTGATAACAGATTTGACCACTGCTGACGAACGTGTTGATGCTTTAGGAAAGCTTGGACTATGTTTTGGGGTAGGAATGATCGTTGGAGCTTCCTTGGGGGGCACCTTAACCTCAAAATTTGGGTGAGTGGTCATGTCTTGTTTCAGTTAACCGCAATGTCCTACTTTTGAAGGGATGTACTGTTCTCCTTTGAATTGCCAAAAATTGAGGTTCTGAGGTAATCTCAGTATGCACAAAGCCAGTGGAACTTACTTCTGAGTAAGCATGCAATGGCAGGGCTATTATTATCATAGATTTCTGTATATCTCACGATGGTTTTCTACACTACAGATTTAAGGTGTATGTGGTTGGTGCCCATTATGATCCAATACAGTGGTACCTCAGTTTAAGAACAGCCCTGTTTACGGACTATTCAGTTTACAAACTCCGCAAAACCAGAAGTAGTGTCCCAGTTTGCGAACTTTACCTCAGTCTAAGAATGGAAGCCAAACGGTGGAAGGGCACCGGTGGCGGGAGGCCTCATTAGGGAAAGTGTGCCTCGGTTTAAGAACAGATTTGGTTTAAGAACGGACTTCAGGAACGGATTAAGTTCATAAACCAATGTACCACTGTAGTTTGTAAGGCAGCTGAGCAAACTTATTTCACCCCAACACATGTTACAACTATGCACTCTCATCGCAAGTATTAATTGAAAAGCAGAATTGAACGTATAATTTTATAATGTTGGACTATGTGTATAATTTATGGCGAAATAATTTTGGTTTGAAATAAGTGTAGACAAAGAGTATATGGAGAGTCTGGAAACAGAAATCTTGGAATAATTTAAATCAAAGTCCAGAGCAGGCAAAATGGGGCTCATCTGGCTTTAAATCTCTGGAGGGAAAGTGTGAACATATTTGTCCATTAGATGGCACTGTTTCACAGCCATAATTCCCCCCCTTGTTGGTTTTGTGTTCTTTGGCTGTGCATCAATGATGCTTCAGCTATCAACCATCTTATATTTTTTAGGGGGCTGGAAAGGGAAAATACCCCACTGTCCTGTTTCTTGAGCATTTAGGTTTGTTTGTGTCTTTAAAAAAAATAATAATGTGTGAAGTCTCTGTGTTCCTTCTTCCCTGTGACAGGATGTGCACCTTTCCTTTTAAAAAGGACGAGAGGTTCAAACTGCTACCCTTCCATGTGCGGGTGGCGCTGTGGTCTAAACCACTGAGCCTCTTGGGCTTGCTGATTAGAAGGTCAGCGGTTTGAATCCCCACAATGGGGTGAGCTCTCGTTGCTCTGTCCCAGCTGCTGCCAACCTAGCAGTTTGAAGCACACCAGTGCAAGTAGATAAATAGGTACCGCTGTGGCAGGAAGGTAGAAGGCATTTCTGTGCTCTCTGGCTTCCGTCACGGTGTTCCGTTGCGCCAGAAGTGGTTTACTCATGCTGGCCACATGACCCGAAAAGCTGTCTATGGACACATGCCGGCTCCCTCGGCCTGAAAAGCGAGATGAGCCCCACAATCTCATAGTCACCTTTGACTGGACTTAACCGTCCAGGGGTCCTTTACCTTTTACCTTTTACCTTACAGCAAGTTACATGGTAGTGGGAAATAAATAGTGCCCTTTTATAATTATTGGGCTGTCTTTGGTCTTGTGAACCGCCCTGAGGTATACGGGGCTTAGGGCAGTATAACAATTTAATAAATAATAATAATTAATAATAATAATCAGCACACAGGTTTTCAGTCATTCTGCTTCAAAACAGATCATCCTCTACTACCCTTCTTGCCCCTGCAATTCCCTCTCTGGGGCTTTAGACAGGAACATAGGAAGCTGCCTCTTTGTGAGTCCGGCTGCTGCTTCATCTGGCTCAGTACTGTCTAAACTGACTGGCAGCAGCTCCCCAGGGTGTCAGGCAGAAACTTCTCCCAGCCCTACCTGGAGACATTAGGGATTGAATCTGGGACTTTGTGCATACAAAGCAGGTGTTCTGCCCACTGCGCTGCAACTCTTCTCCCAACCAAATCTGCTAAAAGTCCCCCCTTTCACTCAACTTTTAAAGGAGCAAGAAAGAGCCCCATCTCCCTTTTCATCTGGCCACCCTGAAGAGAATACCTTTACCACTCTCACTGTCAAGAAACAGCCACAGCTGAGGACCAACCAAAATGCCATTTAGGATGCTTTGATGTAATGTCCACTAGATGGTGCAAATGTCTTGGGAAGAAGGAGAGGAATAGTACCATCAAGGCTTGTTGTGGAGATTTGTCGGTGGTGGTGGGGAGGAACCCAAAAAGTTCTGGAAGTTTGTGACACACACACACAAAATCAGTGGTATTTTACACAGTAATGAGAACAAAAAAAGGACACGTGTGCATGATGATTTTCTTGAGTCAAAATGAGAGTACCCTGAACATTTTTTTAAGAAAAAAGAACTGGTTTTATGTAGTAGGGTTGAAAAGAAGAGAGAAAGATGGGCAGAATCAGAGTGGGAGATGCTTCTCACTCCCCAAAAATATATTAAGTGTCCTTTCTGCAGCGAACAGATGACATACAGCCATAAGTAAGACAAAATAAAACAAAGCAACACAATAAGAAAAAATGCAGAAACACAATTGGGGCACATTCAGACCATACATTTAACTGAGGTTGCCATATTTCAAAAAGTAAAAACCAGGACACCCCGAAAGCTTCTTTTTAGACAAACCCAACAATTCAGTTTCAGTTACCTAATACCCAGGACAAAGCACCACCTTTCAAAGATTCCCCCCAGACATAAATGACACCTTTGAAATCCCAGTAATGTCTGGGAAAATCTGGACATAGGGCAGCCCTAAGTTAACAGTCATGGCTTCTCCCAAAGAATATTGGGAGCTGTAGTTGTTTAAGGGCGCTGAGAGATGTTAGCTAAACCACTCTTTCTGGGTCTCCTGTCGTTCCCTCTTCACAGGGAACTCTGGGAATTGCAGCTCTGCGAGGGGAACTCCTAACACCTCTCAGCACCCTGAGCAAACTACAGTTCCCAGGTCTCTTGGGGGTAAGTTAAAGTGGGATCACAGTGCTTTCAATATATGGTATGAATGTGGCGTCAGCCACTGACTGCATAAAAGCAAATTGCCTTGAGAAGGACTTTATGAATGGCATCTGTGGCCTTTAAAAATGGGAGCTTGCAAATAAATGTTCTTTCTAGACTACCCTCTCCTGTGACAGTGTTGTGTTACACTGCGGTCCTCTACATGCTCAGCCAGATATAAATCTCATTGTTTTGAATGGGGCTTCCTCCCAGGAAGAATGCATAGGATTGCAGCCTTTCTTCGCCAAAGGTAGCTAGTCACATTTGAAGTCCTGCATTTCTTAAGGGCAGGTCTGCAGTGTCTTCTGAACAAGCTCTCTGAGTGCTCCAATGTGCATGCGGAGTTATTTAATGTGCAGACTGTCCCATTTTGTTATTGTTGGGGGGGGGGAGCAGATCCATCCACACACGCAAATGGGGATGGCCTTGCTGTTGGCAGGGCTCTAGCGGAGAAGACTGGAGTTCCTGCGAACGAAACCACGGGATTGGCCATACTTCGTGCCCTCCTCTTAACACATTCCAAAGTTTTGTTTTTAAAATGGCCCATTTGTGTTAATTGTTGCATAATTTCCTATAAAGTCCCACCAGCTTTCTGTTATGCATTCATGCTTTACTGTCCTGGAATGGTTTTTCTGTTTGTTTGCTGTGATGCCATAGGGAAAGAATGTCCCTCGGGTTTTCTGCCCACTTTGCGTTTTCTTCTCACTATTATTCAAGTGTGTGTGGCATTGACATACTTGTGCTTTAAATGCAGAAGAGGATAAAATTTTTGTTTGGTTCTTAGACCTATGTCCTTGGTCCTTCATAGGTAGTGAATTTTAGGACAGTCTGCACTGGCAAAACCTGTCCTCTATTTTCTTGAAGCTTATTTCCACCTGCGAAATAAGCTTCCGTTTCTCTCCCTCTTTCTGAGGACTCTCCCGAATCCCTTTAGAATATTGGTGGGTGGAGAGTTGAGCTCACTTTGTTGTGACAAGGTGCCTGTGAGTGGCATGTGGGTGTTTCTCTTCCCATTTAACGTTTCTCGTGCCACTTCACTCACCAGCACTATGGCACCTGCAAAACATCTCAGTAAATATCCCCTCAGAAATCCACGCTGCACCCCAGCGTGGGTAGCATGCGCACACCATTTTGCATTCCTGTTGCTTTTTCTGCTCTCTTAGATGTGGCAGCCATTTTGTGTTGCGCCACTCCCGTATTCATTTTGCACCCTGCCACTCACCCCATGACAGCCATTTTGTGGCTGACGTTCATGGCACTTGCACTAAATTCTAAATGCTTTGAAGCGGGCTGGCGAGGGAGGCTGGCTGCCGAGCACCTGAGAGTGGTGCACTCACTTTTGTCTTAAGAGAAGTCCTTGTTGCTTCCCCCAACCAACACCCAGTGCCCAAACTTAGATCAGGTTACAGGTTACATGGTTAAGAAGTGACAGCAGAGGTCTAAGATGCATAGCTAGGCAGAAGCTAAGTCATTGTCCCAACACTTGATGCGCCTCCTGGGCCCCCTTTTTGAAGGATGGGGCAGGCACAGTAATTTGTGTGGTTGTTTCCCCACGTCACAGGACTGGGCAACCAAGCAGGCAGTCCTACAAGTAGACTGGGTCTACAAGGTCTGCTGATGCCAGCACAGCATCCTTGGCAATGGAGGCAGAGTTGACACAGCCAGCTCACTGTTCATTTTAGCCTCAGGTGCCTCTCCAGAGGAGGTGGAGGCAAGTCAGGCAGCTTTCCCGTGGCGGTCAGGGTATCCAATATTACTGAGGCAGACCTCTTCTCTGATAACCCATTCAACCCCTCCCTAACATCTAGATCATCACCTCCCAAACCTCTGGGCACATCCTCAGCACCCACTTCTGCACTCTCGTTCATTCCTCCTCTGCCTTACCCATGTAACATCAAGCATGTATTTATGGGAGATGTGTGAAGATTAATAAAAAGGTAAAGGGACTCCTGACCATTAGGTCCAGTCGTGACCGACTCTGGGGTTGTGGCGCTCATCTCGCTTTATTGGCTGAAGGAGCCGCCGTACAGCTTCTGGGTCATGTGGCCAGCATGACTAAGCCGCTTCTGATGAACCAGAGCAGCACACGGAAACGCCGTTTACCTTCCCGCTGGAGTGGTACCTATTTATCTACTTGCACTTTGATGTGCTTTCAAACTGCTAGGTTGGCAGGAGCAGGGACCAAGCAACGGGAGCTCACCCCGTCGCAGGGATTTGAACCGCCAACCTTCTGATTGGCAAGCCCTAGGCTCTGTGGTTTAACGGACAGCGTCACCCACATCCCTGTGAAGATTAATAGGTGGGCAAAAAATGACAAAGTAAAGTGTCCTTAGCCTGCCCCACACATGTGCTTCTTCCATGGTACCCATAAAAGGTTTGGATCCAAGCCAAACTGACAACTATCTAGGTACGGATGGGTGCTAGACTTGGAGGCTTCTACTGCTGGCAGCTTTGATCGCTGAGCAGCTGGGATGTTCTGTACCACCATACTGGCTCGGACAATAGGTCTAAGAGCTTTTCCACCCTACCAGTGCAGTGTGATACTGGTTATTAATTAGATGAAATGGGGTGCCATTCTTACTTGCTTACAAAAGGCCGTTCTTTCTCCATGTTTATTGCTTGTAACTTAGCAGTATCGGCTCCGGAGAATTATCACGAAATTCCTTCTTTCTCCATCACGTTGGTGGAATGGAAAATATGTGGGTGTTTAAAGGGGTTAAGCTTGGACCACGGCTGGAACAGGGCAAAAGGCTAGAGCTCTCTGCTCTGCTTCTAGACAATTTACCCATTCTGGCTTGAGAAATCTCTCTTTCTCTGTGTTACTGTAGAAATGCTGGTATTTCTCAGCCTAGAATGGTTATGCTGATTAGCCAAGCGGTTTGCATGGGTGACCCAGGACACAAAAAAATCCTTTGTTCTCGATGACAAGGCATTTTGGAAGCTCTGGTTCCCATGGGATGGGGCCAGACTGTTCTTAAACTGTAGAGGAATTTTGGTAGATGACTGTTGCCTGCTGAAGATTACACCCTTCTCCGGATCATTTATCCCAGAAGGCCTACCTGCACCCTGGTACATGTGTGTATCTCTCTCTCTCTCTCTCTCTCTCTCTCTCTCTCTCTCTCTCTGTGTGTGTGTGTGTGTGTATGTATGTAGTTGTGTTCTACCTCCAATCTCTGCTGAGCTGTGGCAAGATTTCAGGGTTCCAAGTGCTCACCCAGGGTCTGTCTTCCTTTGGTGAATTGAAGATACAGCAGAGGCCGTCATAGCTTTAAGAAATATGATTTATTCACATATTTATATCTGAATTTAGATGGAGGGAGTCCAGATCTTACAGCATGGTCATCTCAAGAGTGGCTTGTTCACAGCAGCAATTCAGCCCTGTACTCGAGGGCATCTTTCCCAGCTTCCCTTCATCCAGCCTGACCAAAGATGGAACTCTTGTCTTTTCTTCTCCCCCTTGTTCTCTGCATTCCTTGCTAAAGACACTCTTTCCCTGTCACCTCTCTCACACACCCTGCCACCTTTGGGAACCTCCTGTCTTCCCAGACCCAAGGATTCCTCTTAGATGGGCCATCAACCCCTTTTGTCATATTAACAGCTTGGCTTATCCCCAGCTAGCCATGTGAAGCTGCCTGGGCTTGAGATCCTAAGTGGAATGGAAGAGCCCTTGGCCTAGTTGTTAATGGACCAAACTTTGCTTGTTTTTGAATTTGCATGAATTTATGAGTGTGCTCAAATTTTATCTATTTACTGACCCTAGAGATTATGGTGAGCACGTCCCTCCCCAAACTTAACATCATAGAGACAGAGACAGAGAGTACCTGGTGGATCAGGCCCATTTAATCCAGCACTCTGTTCTCACAGTGGCCAAGCAGATGCCTCTGGGTAGCCCACAAGCAGAACATGAATGCAACAGCACTTAAAACATTACTAGCCTACTCTTCATTACTAAAGCAACCACAGAGCAGGTTACAATCAAATCAAACCAAAATACTTAATACAACTATCTGATAAGAAAACCGTCAAACCATAAACCCCACCAATAACAACTGATAGAATAATTATAGAATTGTAGAGATGGAATACTTTGGAATACTTTGGCCACCTCATGAGAAGAGAAGACTCCCTGGAAAAGACCCTGATGTTGGGAAAGATTGAGGGCACAAGGAGAAGGGGACAACAGAGGATGAGATGGTTGGATAGTGTTCTCGAAGCTACCAGCATGTGTTTGACCAAACTGCGGGAGGCAGTGGAAGACAGAAGTGCCTGGCGTGCTCTGGTCCATGGGGTCACGAAGAGTCGGACACGACTAAACGACTAAACAACAACAATAACAAAGAGTTGGAAGGGACCACGAGGGTCATCTAGTCCAGCCCCCTGCAATGCAGAAATCTTTTGCCCAACCTGGGACTCAAACGCATGACGCTGAGATTGGCCCAATGAAGAAGAAGAAAGAAGCAGCCTGCATGTGGGGAGCCTTTTGTCCTCCAGATATTGTTGAACTACAACTCCCATCACCCCTGACTATCGGCTGCTCAGAGTGGCTGGGGCAACCCAGTCAGATGGGCGGGGTATAAGTAATAAATTGTATTATTATTCTGATGAGAACTGTAGCAACATCAGGAGGGTCAGAAGTTTCCATCACCTGCCCTAAGGGCTGCCTTGAACCGGATCTGTAAAAGGAATGGATTTGCATTTTTCTGTTTGACTTGCGCTCTGGGATTTAGTAGGGTCAGAGCACTTGAAACCACAGGTCCTGGATGCTTTTCTCAGTTTCAGCAAAACATTCTGTTCCCTGGTCCCACCTCTCATTGCAAGAGAGAGCTATTTGTTTAGGTTCTGACAGAGCACACATACCTCACCCGGCAATTTCCCTGGAGGAATGTGCTGTCGCACAAGGGCACACCGCTTTCTCCTTTTCCTAGGTAAGAACATCCTGAGGAGTAGCTGAGTGAAAAAAAAAGTAACGAAGGATCTGGTGGCCCCTGGAAGACTTAACACAGGGGTCAGCAACCTTTTTCAGCCGTGGGCCGGTCCACTGTCTCTCAGACTTTGTGGTGGGCTGGACTATATTTGGGGGGGGGGGAATGAACGAATTCCTGTGCCCCACAAATAACCCAGAGATGCATTTTAAATAAAAGGACACATTCTACTCATGTAAAAACACAATGATTCCTGGACCGTCCGCAGGCTGGATTGAGGAAGCGATTGGGCCACGTCCGGCCCCCGGGCCTTAGGTTGCCTACCCCTGACTTAACAGATTAAAGTCCACTTCACCAGACTTATCTGACTTTAGTCCATAAAAGACCATGTAACATAAATCTGCTGGCACATCTTATTCTTCTTCCCTGAGTCCTGATCAGTGCGCAAGCTAAATATCTAGGATTCTGTCTGCCATCCTCTGCGTTAACCCTCTGAGTGATGGGTAGGGAGCCTGTGGCCCTCCGGATGTGGTTGGACTCCAAATCCCATCATCCCTCACCACGGGCCGGGCTGATCTGGAGGGTCTCCATACTTGCCCTGAGCAATAGCCTCCTGTGCAAAGCAGGAGGTTATAACATAATATTTCTGAATTTTAACTTTCCTTCAAAATATACCGTATTTTTCAGGTATACTGTAATTGTTATTCAATGTTCATATATAAAACACTCAGGCTGCAGTCGTCCTGTCTATCCATATTTACTTGAGTGAGCCCATGTAGGCAACCCCTGCCTTAGAGCCTCTGAAGGCTTTTTTTCCTCAGGGCACAGCAGGGTTTATAATAATTTCCTACTTCCTTTACTTCTTTAGGTAGAGAATGGCATTTATTGTGTGCTTATTATGCTTTACTGCTATGTTTTACTGTCTTGTCTACATTCTTTACAAAGTTAAACTGAGTCTCGAGTTTTCTTCTGTTTTCCCCCTTTTAAATAATAAAGCAGTTCATGCTGTTGCTTCTTTTTTTAAAAACCCCATCAGTTTTTGTTTGTTTACAAATCCTACCCAACAAACCCTGTCTCATTCCACCCCAATCCAATGCTTCCTGACACTCTGCCCCTCAGCAAATCCTCTTGCCATGTTAAAACCACAACATTTTAAAAAAAGAACAATCAGATCTCTGTGGTCCAAATATCAAATGTACACTGTTTCCGTGGCTAAATGCGGGTGTCAGTTTCACCACAATTCTCTTATGTAAAATTCCCATCAATTACCATGCCAGTTTTTGAGTGTGAGTATGCCAAGGTATGTGAAGCATCCACATTCTGAATATTTCCTTTACAGCTGAGACCCAGCCTGGTTTATGAATGGCTGTCTCCATGCTCACCAGGGAGAACCGCGAATCATGTCCAAACTTGCTTTTACCTGGGCAATGAGGTGTTGCAGCAACAGGATAGGAAAAGGTGGTGTGAGGTATCATTTCCACATGCCAAATCAAACTCTGCCTTGGGTTAAACCCTTGGGAAACCCAGCCAGATGGGCAGGGTATAAATAATAAATTATTGTTGTTATTATTATAGTAGGAAAATTGAACCAAAGGGAGGCTTGGGAAACCAACTTGCTCTTTCCTCTTTCATAGCTCTGCTCGTTCCTAGTCATCAGAAGTAACCAGATAATTTTCTTCTCAGATATAGTATGATCTTCTTATGGCTGGGGGTAACCAACATGGCGTGTTCCCGATTTTGTGGACAACTCCCATCATCCTCAACAATTGACTATGCTGGATGGGGACTGATGGAAGTTGTAGTCAGGGCCAGCCATTTCATTAAGCTGATTGAGGCAACTGCCTCACACAGCAAATACTCAGGGTGGCAGATACCCTTTGAGTCTCCTAAGGTAGTCTCCACCTCATAAGATAGCCTGATTCCTTGAGGCATTGTGGAGGATATTGTCCCCAAATCACTGCTGAAGTGAGGTCCCATCCACACCGTACATTTAAAGCACTTCACTTCCCCCCAAGAATCCAAGGAACGGCATTGGGTTAAGGGTGCTGGGAATTGTAGTTCTGTGAGGGATAAACTACCATTGTTGGAATATTTTAGAAGAAACCATGACTGTTAAAGTAATATAAATGTGTTTCAAATGTGTGGTGTGGATGAGACCTAAGATTCAGTTGCCAACCTAGTTGTCTTTGGCAGAATATTTGAGCTGCTTCTGTTGGATTATTTTAGACTGCAGTCTTATTCACTATTACCTGAGTACAGTGGGATTTACTTCTAGTAAACATGCATAGAATTGGACAGGCTGTGATCAGCCCTTTGACCTGAGGTAGGATGGCCAGTTTAATGGAACAGAAGATGGAGTCGGGGTTTTGTTTCCCACTCCAATGCATTTAGGTCCAATGCTGTTAGGTCTGCTCAAAATGAAGCTAAAATCCCTGTAAATTAACTGCTACCTTGATGGTGCATCATGCTTTGATGTGCCTTAGCTGTTGGTATTTTTAAAAGTGAAAGCTAATAAATGGCATTTTGACTTCCTCCTCCAGCAGCTGACTTATAGATATGCAAAAGAACCAGCCTTGAGTGATTTAGGAATATAAAGGTTTTTTTGTTTGCCCTGTTCCTTATGTCACCGCTCAGTGATGCAAATGCCAGCCCCATGGAAGGGCACAGAAGAAAAGCCTTTCACATCCCTGACTCGTTCCGGAATATTCTCTCTCCAATGTTCATGACTAGCAGCTCTTTGATCTACACGGACATGGCCTAGCTGCCAATGAACAAGAGGATTTCTACAGCATCGCGAAAGCAAAACAAAGCCCCAAAGAACACAAGGCTAATGTTTCATCCAGACAATATGTTCCGGCAACTGCCAAACTGTTATTCCGTTGGCCACAGGCAAGGACAGCTGTCCCGTTTCCCCGGAAATTTCACGTCAGAGTTCATGGGTTCATTCCAGAGCAGGAAATGATGTGGTTTATTTCATTCCTGGGGTCTACTGTGATGCAGGAGCTGCATGTCGTGGCTGATGAGCTAAGTGGGGAAGAGGAAGGGCAAGTAAGCTTCCCCTTTGTATAGGACTAGGACTTGAGTCACACAGCCGCACCATGCTTTTGTTAAAGGTGCTGAGAGTTAGGAAACCCCTTACAGCGTTACAGTTCCCCAGCACCCATAACAAACTAAAGTTCCCAGGATTCTTTGTGGGAAGTCGTGGCTGTTAAAGTGGTGTAAGAGTGCTTTAAATGTATAGTGTGGATGTGGCTTCAGAAGAAGAAAACATATGAAGAAGACCTCTCGTAAAAATGTGTTGCTTATCATAAAAACTTCTAACCACCATGGTAAACATTGTACCAGTTGAAGTTTCCGATTGGCATTAGAAACAGCAAGTCTTTCTCCTGAGACCCTGTTCTAAACAGAAGATGCAGACCCTGTTGTAATACAAAAAGGATGAGAGGTGGGTTTGTTACGTTGAACTTTATTTGAATCAAGGACATTGCCAGCACTTTTCTTAGGAGTGGGTTGACTCCCTGTGCGTTGAATTATTCGTTAATACCAGACCTTCCAGGAGAGGAAGGCCTTTAGGTGACCACAGGGACAGTGAGTTTTTATATCTAAGAAAAGACGTTTAAAGATTTCTAGAATCTTTCCTTGCTGACACTGAAAGCTGAAAAGGTGCCCTGATAATATGACTTTTAGAAGAAGCTATAGGCTGCATACACACCATACATTTAAATCATATTTAAATAACAGCCCCCTACCCAAGAATCCTGGGAACTGGTAATTTGTTAAGTGCCCTGGGATTTGTTGCTCTGAGAGTTAAACTACATTTCCCAGGATTCTTTGAGGGGGGGATATAATTTAAATGCATAGTGCATAATATGCAGCCAGTTGTAAAACTAATGGAGAGCTGTGGGGTAGATATACCTCATAATTAAGGACACCTTTTATCAAATAAATCCCAAATAAATACATGACATGAGTAATGAATAGCTGTGGGCCTCATTCACATTTCTTCCCCACTTTATCATTTGGAACTATTTCAAATGTAATTGCCATGTGGCATAAGGCTTTCATTGACTCTGAACTTTATCTCAGATGGAGAGGAATGAGGATGTGATTGTCCTGTTGCTGTGCAATTTAGGCTGACTGCAAAAAGGAAGCTGGACATGTCCAGGCTTGCTTTATTCAGCCCTGGCCTGATTTGTTTGGAGAGGAATCTGTCACTGATAGGCCCCCCTCCCCACCAAGACCCAACAATGACAGGAATTTTTAGTGGGATAGGGGATCCTATGTCAGTAATGACTGCTTGAAACCATTCCCTGTCACAGAGACAATTTGTTCCTTTCTTTATAATCCTGAGAGAGTGGATGGCCCCCAGAACAAGGTGACCTACTTTGCTACCCTGTGGAAACCAAAAGAGCCACAAAATTAGTGCTGGTTTGCTCTAGGGTGCCTCCAGAATGTCACTATTTTGCACACGGGGTTCAGGAATGTACCAGAAATTTATGTTTGCCCAAATAAAGTGCATCTAAGTTCTCTATAGCCCTGGAGCAACAAATTCATTACATTAAACAAACAAACAATCAAACCAGACTTTTTGCTATTAGGAAAGTGACAGGGGGAATGTGCTGAAAAGCATGGGATGAGTGAATGATGAATGGGAAGACATCTGAATCATGATGCGGGGTCGATCGTATAACTTTCCCACTAATAAATCAGATTGAATGCTCAGTAAAGACCAGATGTAGTCTAACCTCTAAGCTTTGTGTGAGTGGTTCAGGATGAATGCTCAATAAAAAGGTCATCTGGATGATACCTAACTTGGGCTGTGTTCACGCTCCCATTTATTGTGCACTCTGCATTTCCACTGCTGGGTTTTTAATCCGTGTTCAAACTATGTTATTCAAAACAGTTTGAATGTGGCCTAACAGTGCAATTCTAACCTTGTGATTAAGTCCTGTTGAATTCAGTGGTGCTTATTCCCATGTAAGTGTGGTGAGGATTGCAGCTTAAATTGCCTGTATCATCCTGCCAATGGTGAGGAGAATTTTCCCACTAGATTTACCACTCTTTGTGCCCATCTAGCTAGCACAGACAGCCTTTAAAGCATAGCTGTCAACTTTCAGATTTGAAAATAAGGGATCAGCAGCCTCGAAAATAAGGGATCAGCAGCCTCACCTGTCCCAGGGACAGTCTACGGGATAGCAGCGGGAAGCGCAGGAAACGGCGCTGGAATAAGGCAATTTCCCACAAAAAAAGGGAAGGTTGACAGCTATGCTTTAAAGCAATGACCACTCCCTTCGGCAATCCTACATATTGAGTTGAGCTTCTCACCCTTTTTCTGCCTGATAACTGGGCAAGCCTCCTTGGACACAGTCTGTAAGCCATATAAAACTAGGAAAATTGTAAACCTCCTGATGTTTGAGGCTTCAACTCCCATCAGCCCCATCCAATATGGCCAATGGCCAGAGGTGATGGATATTGTGGTCCAGAAACATTTGGGAGGCCAGAGGTTGTAACACGATAACTGCACACAAGTTTTGTATTGCTTTGATTTCCCTGACATAAGGCAACTGTAGTATGTGCAGCATCAGAGAAAGCAACTAATTGGAGGTGTTGTAAAAATAGTAACAGAAGATTCCTCCTAATGACTATAACAAAAGGGCCTGTCCATTCAGGCAGACCTTACAAGCCTTAATTAAGGGCTTCAGCTTCTGCCCGGTTTAAATGATGTGATTCATACTGCTAGCTTCAAGAACTACTGTTTCAGGAAATATATCTGCTTAACAGATAATATCACTTGCTTGGATGAAGATATGTCAAGGGACCATACAAGAAGTATAAGCAAGGACTTGATTATTCTCAGCTAATTGCAACTGTCTCCACTGAAAAGTGTTGCATTTGTGTTCACATCAGATGATGTGAAAGTTCTGCATGCTGTGATTGGTTTCTGGCTGCTTTTTCACACCACCAAGTATGCAAATGACTAAGGTGCCTGTGAACTGACATCCTGAATCTCAAGTTCCCTTTCTTCTGATGGAGTCACTCACTCACTCAGGGGGTTCTGGATCTACAATGTTGAGCATTCTAGATCAAAGTGGTCCATGTGGCACAGAACCAGCTCAAGCTGTTTAGTACATATAGCTGGCTTCCCACATGCACTTTGGGGATGGCCTTTTCAGAAAACACACCAACTTTTTCACAGGGTATTTCTCATACTTCCCACATCCCTGATTATGCTTCATTTGTAGAAACTGCCGTGTGGAATGTCCTGTTTGTAGGCTTCCCCTCTAAGGCATCAGTTTGGCCACTGTGGGAGACAGGAGACAGGCCTTCAAACTGATCCAGCAGGATTATTTGTATGTTATCTCCCCCGGCAGATGGTACACTTATTGTGAAGCTGATAACATCTGATTGCAAACAGAGTGGGGGAGTCATTTAGGTAGGTGTGATATATCTTTAGCTGCTATATTTCTATAGCATCTGTGGACTTCAGGGTATGTTACAAACATCAATAAATACAGTCATACCTTGGGTTACAGCCGCTTCAGGTTGCGTTTTTTTGGGTTATGGACTGCCGAAACCTAGAAGTACTGGAACGGGTTACTTTCGGGTTTTGGCGGTTGCACATGCGCAGAAGCACTAAGCATGCTTTGCGCATGCACAGAAGCGCCGAATTGCAACCCGCACATGCGCAGACATGCCGCAGTGGGTTGTGAACGCTGCGGGTTGCGAACGTGCCTCCTGCACAGATCACGTTTGCAACCCGAGCATCCACTGTATAATACTATGGCTATGAGGCATTAGAGCCAAGGAACCGCATTATCTAGATCAATGTAATGCTGACCTTTAAAGCCCTAAATGCCCTCAGCCCAGTATACCTGAAGGAGTGTCTCCACCCGCATTATTCAAACCCAGACATTGAGGTCTAGTGCCGAAGGCCTTCTGGCGGCTCCCTCACTGTGAGAAGCGAAGTTACAACGAACCAGGCAGAGGGCCTTCTCGGTAGTGGCACTCACCCTGTGGAATGCCCTCCCATCAGATGTCAAAGAAATAAACAACTATCTGACATTTAGAAGACATCCGAAGGCAGCCCTATTTAGGGAAGTTTTTAATGACTGATGTTTTAATGTATTTTTAATATTTTGTTTGAAGCTGCCCAGAGTGGCTGGGGAAACCCAGCCAGATGTGCAGGGTATAGATAATAAATAATAATTATTATTATTATTATTAAAATTGAAATGACTCCTCCAGAAAAAGTCTGTTGTGTTTTGCCAACTCAAAATTTCCCAAGAATGAATTTTTACTACTGTACTGAGTAGTGAAGGCATGGAATAAGGGTTCCCTTCTCTGCATTTTCGAGTGTTTTGAAGTCCACAACTAGACCAGGATTGCATAGGAGAATTGGTAATAGAGCTCATTTGAGGACGCACTTAACCTAAGTGGGCTGCAAAGAACTTCCTGAATCACCATCTTAAGACCGTGACACACTTGAAGCAAAGCCTGTTTGTCAGCCAGCTGGATGAAAAATCCATTAAATACTGCCAGCGTAAAATTGTGTTATTGCATTTTTAAAAAGAAGAGTCCCAAGGTCCACCTGCCAGGAGAAAGTAGACAACCTGGTTTACATTAGCAAAGATATTTTTGAACTCTGCATTTTTCCTGCTCAATGCATATGAAAGTAATTGACACTCCAGATTTAATGATGCTGAGCTGTTATGGATGAAATGTGCAAATCCTCCCACATTGTGGTCAAGTGTAACTGATCTGCTTCTCTTCCTGTAATTAAACCAGAGTTTTTTAGAAAATTGCTGCTCTCAGTTCCCGCAGTGAAATTGGCTGGCAACGTCATGTTGCTCCCCATTGCCTTGGGAAATAGTTCTCCAAAGCATGCCAAAAATATTTCATTCATTTAATAGGGGATGTGTTATGCTTGGGCTGATTTTACTGAAGAGAGCATTTAGCTAGACAGCTTCCCATTGTCTTAGTTTCCTCTCTGGAAAAGGGCTCGCTACTTCATTGCTGGCTAAGTTTGACGTAGTCAGCCCTTCCTGAGTTCACGCAGGCTGTTTTTACTTCTGTAATGTCCCAAAGCACATAGGCAATGGCCTCTTAATTCATTAGTATCTTGAAGCAGAACATCCCCCTAAGCAGGATTTCCTGCTGCAAGGTGTAGCAACGGTAGAAATATCTGGCTGGAGCTCAGGGTTGCATCGATAGCATCACCACACCTATTTTGACAATTCCACCCAGACTTGTGATTTGGCTCCCATGTGAATTTCTAGCAGACAGTGGAGGCATGGGAAGGGAAGGGTTTTGTTGTATGTCAACTGGACAATATGACTGTTTCTTTAGGCTTTTGTATAGGGCGATGCTTGCTGAATGGGACTTCAACAACAGAAAATGTTGCTCAGTAGCAGGGCACTTGGTTTGCATGCAAAAGGTCCCTTGTTCAATCTCAGGCATCTCCAAGGAAGGCTGGGAAAGGTCTCCGTCTGAAACCTTGGAGGGCTTCTTCCAGGCAGATAATATTGAGCCAGATAGGCCAGTGGCCATGGTATAGGACAGCTTCCTTTGTACCTGATGACCAATCTGGAATGTTGGCTATGCCTACCTGTACCTGTAGGGTGCTGAGGAATTTCTGTCTTGGGTGTGTTCTGCCCATGGTATATGGCTGTGGTGTTTGAAACGTAGCCAGTGAAGGAGGAGATCTCCAGTCTGAGATTTGTAGCTGGCTGACAAAAGATGTCTTGTAACATCTTTGTGCTTGTGAAACATGCAACGATTCCTTGCTATGTTGTTCAGCAATCTATGTTTCTTTTGATTAGATGGAGCAACACTGAGCTTCAAGCCTCATGCACCTACAGCACTCATGTAGTTAGACACATAGTCAAAAGCTGTACTTGAAAGTAGCTGAATTTGCCATGAATGAAGGCTTTATGTTGCTTACTTTTGAAGTAGGCATGAATCATTGAAATTCAGTTTGTACCGTACGTTCTTAGATCTCAGCTGTGACCTTACTGAAGGGGGAAATGGAAATAAGCAAAGAATGATTCAGATTTGTTAAAGGGAGAAATACGTCCTGTTTCACGAATATGAATAGGAGCAACAGGAACTGTCCAACAATGAATTTTTTGGGGGAGATTCCCCAACTAAGTTTGACTCAGAGTAGATCCAGTGAAATTAATGAATGTAACCAAGTCAACAGGGCACTCTGAATAATATTCAGTTCAATACCAACATTTTGCACCAGGTGAAGCTTCTGAATTAACTTCAAGTGGAGTCCTGCATAGAGTGGACCATGTTGCAGTATGTGGAATATGGAATACTCAGTCCACAAAGATACAAGATGAGGGTGGCAAGATCCCTCTCATCTAAAAATTGGTGCAGCCTTCATCGTGGGCACATTCACCACATGTGTAGACTCTTACTGTCATCATGTTCCTATAGGATAATAGTAATCCCATCAAACACAAATGGGGAACCCAAGACTAAAAGTATATTGAGAAGTGTGACATCAGTATGCATACTGCTCAGTGCAGTATGTTTCCAAATACCAGCTGCTGGGAATCACTGGTGAAGAGAGTGATCTTGCACTCAGGGCTTCCCATAGGCATCTGGCTGGCCGCTGTGAGAACAGGATGCTGGACTAGATTGGTCCCATTTTGCCTGATGCAGCAGGACTCTTCTTATGTGTGATGGATGCATGAGAAAGAGGCAGGAAAAAGACAATGGTGACTTGGGCAGCTGATTGGAAGAAAGTGAGCTGGAAGGGCCAGGAAGACAGCAAGGGGGGAAAACTTCCATAGACATATGGGAAGTATTCAATTTGATTTGCATTGAGAATAGGAAGCAGGAATAAGCAGCTAACCTCATCTAATAGTTTTTCAAATTTTATTTTATTTATTCAAGTTCTGAACCACCTTTGATCATTTGTGATCTGAGGATGGCTTGCCACACAGTCACCAAAACACTGAAAACACAAACATTCAATCCAAAAGTTTAATGTCAGCTTAAAACAATACGAGCCGGACACGTATCCATTTCCTGTGCACCTTTGTCAAATCAAATATATGGATCTTCAATTGGTGTCTAAACCCCAAAACGATGGTGCTAGTCATGCTTCAATGACGCTATTGCTGTCCAGTCTGCAATTCCTAGAAAACTCAGTTTTCTATTTTAAGATGTACTGTTTAAGATCCATAAACATTTGAGAATGTTTGTAGATGTGGCTTTGATATTGCCTGGAAAATAAGCACACTCCATCCAGCAACAGTTTTAATTTTATCTCTCTACAGTGATTACTATACAAATGCAACTACCATTTCTGTGTTTGGGTTGGTTTGAGATTCACCAAGGAAACATTAAATAGTGTTGTCCCTGACAGGTGATAAACCATGAATAGCTGCAGAGTGCAAAACCAATTCTGCAGTATAAATGTTTATGGCAGACTGTTGAATTGTACGTGCCTCCTTCAAGGTACTTCCATTCCAGTCAACCCTTTCCTTGGTTGAAGCCTTTACACACCATTTCCAGTTTTACATATAAACGCTTGTGACTCAGACAACACAGTTTATCCTTGGAGAGGGCTTCAAAGATGTCCGTCTGTATTGTGAGGCAGGATTTCACCCAAGGGATACATAAACAGGAAGACATTTAGCCATAAGCAGACAGTGCCCCTAAACACACAACATTCCAGCAGATTAACAGGCCATGAGGAGGCAGGCTGCAGATCTAGACTCAAGTGGGTTGAGGCCTGTTGCTAGATGTTTTGAACTGCAGCTCCCACCATCCCTGCCTATTGACAAGTGGCTGGAGTTTATGGGAGGTGTAGCCCACAACATCTCACTACCAAGGCTATACACAATTATGTGGGAGGAAACCCCCTTGAACTCTGTAGGGCTTACATCTGAGGAGACATGCATGGCCCTTAAAGCCATCCCTCATTTAGTCAACATATATTTCTGGGGCCTGTATATCCCAACAGAAACACTGCCCCATGTTGTCCCTGGGATCTCAAGGTCCCTGTTTATTAGGGTGGTGGTCCCCTGGTTGATCTCCACACCCTGATACCTTCTTCCACCTTTGCATAGAAAATGCCAGCAGAAACTATGGAACTCTGGAACTTGTAGTTTTTGAGAGAACTATGGCATAGAGAGACAGGCATCACTGTCTCTCAAGCTGCAAACCCTCTTGCCTAGAGTAAACCACCAGAATCAAAATATTTAATCTCTCTCAGACGTCCAGAGGGGCTATAGCGCATCAGAAGTAGGACAAAAAAAGGCAGAAACCCAGGACATTTGTGGTATAAAAAGTTACAGGATTTCAACAGAAAGGTACAATATACAGTGGTACCTCAGGTTAAATATGCTTCAGGTTACATATGCTTCAGGTTACAGACTCTGCTAACCCAGAAATAGTGCTTCAGGTTAAGAACTTTGCTTCAGGATGAGAACAGAAATCGGGCTCCAGCGGCGCGGTGGCAGCAGGAGACCCCATTAGCTAAAGTGGTGCTTCAGGTTAAGAACAGTTTCAGGTTAAGAATGGACCTCCGGAATGAATTAAGTACTTAACCCGAGGTACCACTGTATGCAGAGATTGGAAATGAAGCAGTGTGACTGCCCCAATACTTTTGCAGGAACCAACAGCATTGAAAGCAGAATAGCATGTGACTGTCCCAATACCATCATGAATAGACCACAGTCTCTGTGTGCCATGCACACACATATGGGAAGAAGACCATGAGGCTGTGTGGCGTGCCAAGTTTTCAGAAATAAGGCGAGTCCCTGGTATGTCTCTAAGCAGTTCTGTTGCACTTAAAGCTTTTCTATCTTTACCTACATAATCCCTAGAAAAATCATCACAAGACTGCAAACACAGTAATCTGTTATCATGGTTGGTTTCCCTGCACAGCTGACAGAGAATGGAATCTGCCAGTGGTATGAAAGCTGGTCCAGGTGACTTGGGAAGCTCTGAAAAGCTGTCAATATTAACTTTCCCTGAATATACACAGCAAAATATGTGTCAACATGAGACCATTTTTGTCTTTGTTATCAAGTGGATGGAATGTTAGAAGCTTCCGTGCAGACAGGAACCCGCCAGCCAACTCGTACTAAACACCCAAAAGAAATTCAGAAAAAGGGAATAACCCAATAAAGTAATTTGGCTGGTTTTTTGTTTTTGTTTTGCTGTTCCATAGGGAATTTTAGTCAGTCCTAGGCCACATTCACACCATATACAGTGGTACCTCAGGTTATGTACTTAATTCGTTCCGGAGGTCTGTACTTAACCTGAAACTGTTCTTAAGCTGAAGCACCACTTTAGCTAATGGGGCCTCCTGCTGCTGCTGCGCCGCTGGAGCACGATTTCTGTTCTCATCCTGAAGCAAAGTTCTTAACCTGAGGTAATATTTCTTAGTTAGTGGAGTCTGTAACCTGAAGCATATGTAACCTGAAGCGTATGTAACCCAAGGTACCACTGTATTGAAAGCACCATGAAACCATGTCAAACAGTCATGGCTTCCCTTCCAAAGCATTCTAGAAGCTGTTAAGCATGCTTATAGTTCCTAGAGTACTTTGCGAAGAGGGATTGATTTCTGACCCAACCAGGAACCAGCTACCCCAGGGTTATCTGGTTCCAGTGTCGTGTAGTTCCCCTTGCTCCATCTACTTGTGCTTGATAAGGAATGAAGAATGGCCCTCATCCAGACCTGGGTTGTCCTGGAAGACCTTTTCAGCACTGCAGCCTATGTGTGATCTTCAGAGGAAAGCCGGTCTGGCCCAGCCATTAGGCAGGGTGAGGCAGCTGCCTCAGGCAGCATGCCTTTCGGTGCCCTGCTTGCCCTTATTGGGCAAGACCGTGCCTCACACCAAATCAGCATCATCTTGCTTGGAATAGGCACCAATGGTGATGCTGGTTCTCCGCGATCGGCAGTTGCAGCAAGGAGTGCAGTGGCAGCTGAGCAGGCAGCAGCAGGAGCAAGTATGTGGTGGTGGGAGAGCGACAGCAAGGCAAGGTGGCACTTCCTGGTTAGCTTGAAGCGGCAAAATGGGACGCACTATATCTGCTTGAGAGTTCGGTAGTTTAAAGCCTTTCAGTGCCTTTCAGTGATACGGGTGGTTGTGCCCCCCCCATAATTTCAGATTGCCGGCTCTATGAAATCCCAGGGATAAAATCCGCAATATATGAAAATGAAAAGCTTGAATTGTAGTTGACTCCCCCACCCATGCAATTTGGGATCCTACAAGCAGAAGCAGCTACTTAAGCTGATAAAAATCTGTTGAGGTCTTAAAGTGTTGTGACTGAGTAAATGGATTAATTTTGTGGTTTAAGATAACAATTGCTTTGGCTGACGCCACCCAAGAAGATTGCAATTTGTTGAAATGTCTCTGTTTGCTTGAGGTGGTTTTCAGGAGGCTGATCTTATTCTCAAATAATCAGAAATTTGCTGTGGACTGTTCAAATTCTCATCTCCAGCAGTGCTTATGTATTTTTGCCCTTTGAAGTTCTTCAGTTGCACATACTGAGAAACTTGACTCTTGCTTTTGAGTTTTAGCGATAAATGGCACCATGATGCATCTTGCTGCTATTCAACAGCTCCTCCATCTGTCTTGAGAAAACACCTGAGTCTCCTAAAGGATATGGTGAACTGCAATGCAAATACATGTGAATAACGTGCCGCACTTTGCCTCTCACCTCCAAGGCAAATTCCCTTGCAACTGTGGTGGGAACTAGCCCTCCACCCAACATAGCTGTCAACTTACAGATTTGAAAATAAGGGACCAGCAGCCTTGAAAATAAGGGACCAGCAGCCAAAATAAGGGACCTGCGGCCTCACCTGTTCCAGGCACTCCAGTCTTCCTGTCCTCCTGCAGTCTGGTCAAACTCATGCTGGTAGCTTCGAGAACACTGTCCAACCAACTTTGTAACCAGAGGTTCAACTGAATAGAATCTGAATCACATGCACCACAAGGCCTATGCAGCCTCAACTTAAGATGGCTCCCCAGCCTGGCTTTGCACTGCAAAGTTTGCAGCAGCACGTGCAACAAAATGGCATCCAGCATTCAAAACCCCCCTCAGCTTGCATTAACTAGCCACACACAAGGCATGCAAACTCCACCCCCAGTCGTTCTTAGACTTCTTATTGGGTGAGCAACACAGCCAAGCAACACAGTTGGAGCCTCCCCCTCCCTGGCCGGCAGGGAGGGAGGGAGAGGAGCTGCTTCCTTTGAAATTTAAGGGACATCATTTAAGGGACATTTAAGGGACATCCATCAATAAGGGACAGCAGCGGGACATGGCGCTGGAATAAGGGACTGTCCCTCCAAATAAGGGACACTTGACAGCTATGCCACCCAATTTCATGTGGATGGCAAGGAGAGGAGAAATTAAGAGGAAACTGGGTGGCCGACGGAGAAAAGGGTGGTAACAGAATGAGAGAGAGAGAGTGCCTTGCCCACCATGGACTCTGCCTCCCTGCCAGCATGTGACCCTCAAGAGATTACCCTACACACCAGGGACCACGTCCCACTACTGAAAAAAAGGTTCCCTAACTTGCCATGCACAGTTACACTAACAGAAACATTGCCCGTAAGACGTGGGCAATCATTGTGCCCACAGCCTTACTCAGCCCTTTGTGTTTTATACAGCTTTAATCTGCATTTGAAGGAGAATAGTAATAAACCTCAGTGAATACGGAAGAGAACACAATTATCTTTCAATGGAGAGAAGATGATTTGGTATACATGACATGAGGCCACCACAAAGGAGACCACGGTTTCCCATGGCCTCTTGTTTAAGTTTCGGCAGCAGGGCCTCTTTCGAGCCCTGTAGACTCCACTCCCTTCCTCCTCTTTATCATTCTTGTTTGCCATTTCATAGTTTGCTTTGTGCTGACTGGGATAACATAAAATGAAAAATGTGTTTGCTTCCTTCCTGAAGTTTTCATCGGCAACGCCACTGCCCGTTATGAGGAAGTCAGGTGCATGTTTGCTACAAGTATTGGTCACCTACAGAGAAACCCTATACATATCCACTCAGAAGTATGTCCCATAGACTTTTGCCAGATAAACAGGTGAAGAGCTGTAGCCTGAGGGAGCAACCCTAACTCCCCATTCCTGCCCCACAGCCTGATGGGGCTCTGCGGTATAGCAGGGCCAGCTCTGCATCTGTAGCCCTGCTGCACGCAGCAGCCAGGGTGGAAGAGGCAGGAACAGGCAGATTGCTTGCCAGTGGACATCATCACATGATGCCAGTGGGGCTGGATGAGGCTCCAGTGAATCCCAGGCTGGCTCAACCCCACTCGCTGATGCCCCTAGAAAACCCCACTTTGCTGCTTTCTGAAAGTGGCTGCAGGTTGCAAGAGGGAGCTCCACACCAGTAGAGTGACAGTGGCAGCTGCTGGCAGGTTGGCACAGGCCAGCAGGGCTGGCTGGAAGCACGCCTTTGCCCACTCCAACCTCCCACCCCCAGGTGGGGTGCAGGGAGAATTCAGACTGCTTTGTGAATTGTGTAAAATACTAGGGGGTGATGAGATGATCCCAAAGTGCCCTTCATCTTGGAAGGCAGGGCTTGGAAGACTGGGGGGGATCTATATTTGAATGCCTATATATGCTTCTGAATTAAGAGGATATTATGTAAAATTTAAATAATGGAATGTTATACGTACAAGATTTTGAGGCAATGAATGGCTTCCCCATAGCTTGGCCTTCCCCATATTATCCGCATGGCTTGGCATTCATAATAGCTACTTTTACCATTTTTGTTTGTTGTTTTCCATCGACAGCGTCTACTTTCCTTGCTACGTTGCACTAACAGGATGCCTCGCATGTGCTTTGACAGTCCTCGTTTTTTTCCCTGCGCAGACAAAGCCGCAGTTGAAAGGAGATGCTGCACACCAGAGTGAGTGCTTACTATTTCTGACCTTTTGGGATGACCGATTACGCTTTAAAGACTAAGCTAAAAAGGATTTAGGTTTGTAAGCCAAACGTGAGCAACTTTTCCATCTCCCATTATCCCTGGCTATTGGCTGTACCAGGTGGGGTAATGGGACCCAAAGTCCAACAGCATCTGGAGGGTCACAGATTGGTCACCCTCTCTGATTTTTTATTATTATTATTATTATTATTATTATTATTATCATCATCATCATCATCATCACCCATCCTTTAGCAGGGCAGGTTCCAGGGCAGGTTATAGCAATTTAAAAATACAATATTGAAATCAATGTAAAGCAAATGCAATCAAAAGAATAGGGTGGCTCCTAAATATATATCATCTCTATATGTATAGTCAAAAGGCAGAGTAAAGAGGTGTGTCTTTGGCGTGCGATGGAAACTCCAGAACAAAGGTACCAGGCACACCTCTGTGGGGAAGGAATTCCACAACTTAGGGGCTGCCATGGAAGTGAGGTTAATCAATATCAGGCCTCTGTGTTGGTCCATTATAACAAGAACCAGGGGTTCCATCGAATGAAAAATTTATTAATACTAACCAGCATTCTCAGCAGTGAATACAAGATTCCACACTACATGTATTCTTCTTTAGGTTAACATAAGGTTAACTGTTTTTTAGAGATGAATTAGATCTCTTCTTTATCATGTTATAGATGGGCTTTAACATTTTAATTTTATTCTGGTTTTTATATTTGGCCTGAATGTATGTTTCCCTTTGTAAAAAGCAACTAATAAATGCAAATAATAATAATCAGCGATAACAGCTATTCAAGAAATTAAGCCCTTGTCTGCAGCTTGCTTCAGCTTTAAGAAAGTAATGGATAAAAGTTCTTATAGAATCTAGGCCCATAACTGTATACTTTACACTCGAATTTCTTGGGATTAGCACCAATGAATTTAATGGGACTTACTTTTGAAAAGTTGTGCATAGGATGTCAAAGATAAAATTCTGGAGTGCATGTCTATTGCGTGTTCAATGCAGTCATGTTCCATAGGAAAGGCACCTATGCTAGAGAGAAGAGTGTAGAAAGTGTTCCTAAAGAAAGAAACCATTGTGCTCAGATATCATATGACTTCCTTGCTTTCTGGTGCCCACCTGGTTTCCCAGACTTTAACCTGCTTTTTTAATTTTCCTAGGTGTGTCCGAGTCCACTAGTGTATTTAGTCTCAAAGAAACTGTTCGCCTAATGAAACTTCCAGGAGTAATGGATGTTTTTTTAATCAAGGTACTTTCCGGATTTCCTTCAGGTGAGTGCTGTGAGATTTTTTCCCCAAAAAATAAGATCTCCAGTCACATATGATTGTTGCTCAGGGATTATTGGCATCTTTTGTGTTTCTGGCTCAGCAGAAAAATGTATTCCTTTAGTTGCAAATCATATAATGCTTAGTGTTGTATGCTCCAGTATAACTCATGAGCTAGGTCGGTTTACATCTGGTGGCAGCCAGCATGTGGTCAGTCTAAGAGTGTATCAGAATCACTGCTGCAGAAATAATTTGGGGGGGGGGGGTTTAGCCTCCACCTGTAACAGATGGAGTGGTGGGGCAGAGATAAGGGTGATGTGGTGCAAACACACTGCCAGGAGCACTGGATTGACTCTGCTGGTATGTTTACACCACACTGACCTAGCCACCCTCTTGATCTTCCCACTCCACTTAAACAGCAGTGACTCACCTGCTTGGAGGTCAGGTAAGTGCCTCTGGCCTACCACGCCATGTCCTGCTGGCCTTCAGTACCTGAGGCCATTAGCAAGTGGCCAAATTAAAATGAGGCCATGGCTCTTAAGGCTTCAATACTTGTGCAGAAGAAGGAATTTCAACAGGTGTAGCTTTTTGTGTAAAAAAGGACCTGGGGAATCCTTAGCACAGGAGTTAAACACACCATCAACATAATGTCCAGTTTGTGTCTATATTTTAAACTCATTATTGTAACTTCTATACAATTACACAAGCATACCCGTATACTATTAGAGATGCTGCATACCACTTCAGAAGTGACTTGCTCAGTGGGGTGGACCTAAATCAGTAGCCTTTTGCTGCTTAGTAGGAGGGGTGAGGTCAGGGCTGCTTGGGTTGGCTCTGCCTGTGCTCACACGTAACCCCTGCCTCACTGTGTTAGTGACACCCCTCACAGCAAACTATTCCTGAAGCTTCACCCCACTAGGCAAGCAGTTTTTGTACCACTTACATATACTTCAATATCTTAAACTCAATATCTCTGTGCTTTATATACCATTGCGTCACTTCTTAAATAAAGGAGAAATTCTCAGAATTCAATACAATACAAAACACCCTTTAAATTGCAGGTATAGCATGGAATGTTTTTCTTACAATATTGAATAATTGGGCTCCTATCCCCCCCCCAAAGATACTCTGCCATTGTTTGAAGAGATTACATTTGAACGACTGAACGAAAAAGAATTTGGGTTTGTAAGCTACATGTGGGCAAATTTTCTGGCTCCAGCTGTTATCTCAGTCCTGTATCTTCCCTTTTCTATCTGATCCTGTGCACATTAAACTGAATGGGTTCTTTTGTCCCCATATAATGCGTCAATCTTGCCATTAACATGGGTTCCCAGATTTTATCAATCCATTCATGTAGAGTTGGCATAACCTGTAATCTCCATTTACTTGCGTATAGTATTTTTGCTGCTGTCAACACCTACGAAACAAGGTCTTGTGTGTTCTTTTTTCATCAAGTCATCTATATAATTGAATAAGAAGAAGGAGACAGGATCTAATCCTATCTCACATCCCACAATTTTTACAATTAAATTGTGTGAGCACCACCACTGCTTTTTTTTAAGCTTCACTCCTCTGCAGTCCTTAATCTCCACTGAACTTGGTGAGACTTTCTTCTGAATAAAGATGCACAGGGTTGGGCTGCCCAGTGCTCTGATGCTTTTTCTGAGCCTATCTCTGTCCTCTGCGGCTGCTGATCCAACCTGCTGAGACCCTGAGAAGGGCTGAGATTACATCTTAAGGAGATTTGGCTGTTATCCACTTATTCATACCTCAATGCTGGAGGGATAACCTTCCGATAAATGTTCTCATTTATTTTCATCTCGTTGCTCCAACCATATAATTATTTTTAGTAATGTACACACATGTAGAGCCCAAATTATAGTGTTGCCTGTATTTATATTATAAGCAAAGCTGTGATGTACACAGGTTAGTGCTGTGCTGACAATTCCACGGGTGTCCATCTGCCCTGTTCTCCGTCAATTAGAGAAAAGAAAAGAAATTGCATTTGAAAAATATCAAAGCGGAGTGAAAAATTCAGTAATCTTCCCAAGGGGTTTGTCACACTTGCTTTACTTCTGAGGTGACTGATGATTATTTGGAGATATCTTATATTTCATCCTACACATCACCTCACTAGTGGGCTGCACTCTGCAGCCTTTCTGGCTTCCTTTAAAGGTCAGGGTAAGATATCACCTTCCTGTGGGGGATTTTCACAGCAGGAATTGCAGCCAGGGAGGCTGCAGATTGCTGTGGAAATGCTTACTGAAAAGAAGAACACACACCCTTGGCCACCATTTAATGATGAGGCAAGCTCAAAATCCCACACCCACCAAAGTTCTAAAGAAATCTTAACATTCCCTGAGAGCTAATGCAGAGAAATGGAAGCCTCTTTTTCAAAGCAAGAAAACTTTTGAGAAACTGACAAAGCACTAACACATTCCACTTAATTATGCTATTCTCCGAACAAACTCACTTTGGAAAGCATGCCTCTGCTGAACATTACATTGCCGTGCACACTTTCCTGAGAGTAAGCCCCATTGGACACAGTAAGACTTACTTTAAAGTGCTTGTGGATTGGCTACCGTGCACATGCGATGTAGATGTGGACTTCATCTGTGCTAGACTTAACCATGATGTAGTGTTCAGTGCTTAACTCCATAGGTTAGCTGTGCAAGAACATAAATTGATACTTATTTTTCTGCAAGTGAGAGGTATATGTTTTAGTGCAGATAAGCATTTACTTACTGACTGCATGTATATATATGCACGTCTATCTATCTATCTATCTATCTATCTATCTATCTATCTATCTATCATCATCTATCATCTATCTATCTATATCTATCATTTATCTATCTATCTATATCTATCCATCTATCTATCTATCATCTATCTATCATCTATCATCTATCTATCTATCTATCTATATCTATCTATCTATCTATCATCTATCATCTATCTATCTATATCTATCTATCTATCTATCTATCTATCATCTATCTATCTATCTATATCTATCATCTATCATCTATCTATCTATCTATCTATCTATCATCTATTATCTATCTATCATCTATCTATCTATCTATCATCTGTCTATCATCTATCTATATCCTGCCTTTCGGACAAGGAGCTCAAGGTAGCACACATAGTTCTCTGTCCTCCATTTTGTTCTTGCAACAACTCTGTTGCTGTGCTAAGGAAGTGTGTCACAAGGTCACACAAGTGAAACTTGTGACTGTGTGGGGATTTGAAACCTGGGCCTTCCCAGTCCTTTCCCAACACCCCAACCACTACACTGTGCTTCAGACATCTTTGGGTGAAAGAGAGCAAGAAAAAGTATGTGGCATTGCAATTTTAGACATGCCAAATGATTGAGTTTTAAAAGATACCGCATTTAAGGGGGGAAAGTATAGTTCAGTGGCGATAAAGCACATAGTAGCAGCCTGTGTGGTGGCAAAAATGAAGCACCAATGTTCTCCTGGCTTCCACACACAGTATGTTGCTGGTGCTTACTACAGGAGGAGGGTTGAGGCCTGGGGAGTTCGAGGGTTGTGCAGGAGCCTAAGGGCGAGAGCCTCAGATTGGCTTTGCCACACCGCAAAGCCCCAAGCCCTCTGCACCTCACCACTCCCCTTCTCCCACAGGTAGGCACCTGCAACATACTGCGTTTGAGACCCAGGAGAACAGCAACACTGCACCTTTGCAGGCCACTACAGATACATAGTTTACATGGCTTCTGCCCCATGCTCAGTTCTTGATATCTCTAGTTAACAGTCCTGAGCACTACCACCTGCCTTCTAAAAAGAGGTTGTCTTTTTCCTTAACCTTAGGTGTGTTCCTGATCATGTTTTCTATCGTATCTATCGATTTCTTTGGTCTGGAAGCAGCGGCGTCTGGGTATGTGATGGCATATTGTGGAATCCTTCAAATGGTAAGGAGGTTGGCACTGAGAGCTGCTATGATCTCTTGTCTCCCAAAGTCTTTTATCAGAAACTTTTCAAGAAAGTCCAGCCAGGGGTTTGGGTGCCTCTAGCCTGAAGATACACTATGTTTCAATAACGATGACTCAATGAGTCAGGGGGAGGACTTTCACTGTGGTGAGGACTGACTGGGTCTGGCCCACCCATTAGGCAAGGTGAAGCCACCACCGCAGGCAGGGACTCTGTGGGTGCCCTGCCCACCACTGGTGCCACTTCTCCAGTGGAGGTGGTGGGGTGGCTGGTGGTGAAATGGGATGCGCCACTGTTGGACTGGGACATTTCTGAGGAAGCAAAAATGGATATGTTATTGCGGCTAAGAAAAACAGAGTACCGTATTTTTTCGCTCTGTAAGACGCACCAGACCACAAGACGCACCTAGTTTTTGTAGGAGGAAAACGAGAAAAAAAATATTCTGAATCTCAGAAGCCAGAACAGCAAGAGGGATCGCTGTGCAGTGAAAGCAGCAATCCCTCTTGCTGTTCTGGCTTCTCTGATAGGTGCGCAGCCTGCATTCGCTCCATAAGACGCACACACATTTCCCCTTACTTTTTAGCAGGGAAAAAGTGAGTCTTATAGAGCAAAAAATACGGTATATGGGGAATGGCCAGGACCAGACTGAAAAGAGAATTTCTAGGCGCTGTGGTGTGAAAGCTGCAGCAGCACAGGCCGTCTCTCCTAGGCCACCTCACGTGTATATCAGCCTTCGGGGTTCTGCTACACACATGGAGCAGGCTCCCCATTTCAAACCTTCTCCCTCATGGTGGTGAGAGGGGCTGGAAGGAAAACAGTGGTGAGAGTAGGGGCAGCAAGTGTGACACCACCCTTCCTCTTGGGCAATTGTTGTCCCCTGAGGGGAGAATGCCTAAAAAGGGCTTGTTAGGAGGCCTATTGGTCACCTCTCTGTTTCCCCCCAAAAGATTTTGTTCTCCAA